TAGAGTTAATTTTTACCGCTTTTAAAAGAATTATTGTAAATGATGACGCCGGTACACATAAATAATACACGTAATACCAACTTGAGTAAAAGAGATAAGCTGCTTCCTATAATATTAGGAAACAAAGATTAATTTTTAAGATCTCGCATATATGAGAAAATACTTTTAAAACTATATTTAATGTGACAGGTCTTAAATTTTATTTAATATCTTTTAAGTATTCGAAAATTAATCAGTTTTTAATTTCACCCTTCCATCCTCCCTCCCTCTTTCCTTTCTTGCAAATTCCAAACAACTACAAGTTATAACTTTAATGCACTAAATTTACGCTATATGGGGGAGGGTGAAATTGATAAAGACTAACTTCCTAACAATGTAAAAAATAATTTTGATTTGATAATGTTAAACAAAATGTTGCAAATATATTTAGGGTTTGAAGGCACATGTTTTGGGGTTCCTAAACATGAATCACTGCAATTTTGACATAAGTCGAGTACATATCCTAATGTATGCATATGTGGATGTATAGTATAAATATATGTACATTTAATTTTTAGTATATAAGTATATATATTTTTATATGGATATGTGCTGTATATGGTTTTAGAATAAATATACAAGTTTAAAGTTTGCTACAGGCCTGCAAATTAGTTCTCAAACATCAAAAAAGTTTATTATGGATCTGTACCATAAGGTATAACAGATATAAAAATGAATCATTGTTTCCTTTTAGTTTTGCGATCAATTTGTTTATTTGTAAATCAGTGTTTATGAATTTAACCAACCAACATTTTTATTAAATTAATTTTGTTCTTATGCAAGCTACAGGCTTGTTAGAGGCATTAACGTTATCACCACATTATACAAACACTGCTGAAATAATTTTTTTCTTATTTACTTCTATTTACTGCATTGCTACTCTACGACATATACAGCAAGTTACATTTTTATAAAGGTTTAGCTATATCACAAAGATTGTATTCTTCAACACAGTGCATTACTAAACAAATATCATTTTGGAAACTAGTTCTTAAAATACACTTGAACTAAAATCACCACTAATCCTTAAATAAAAAAAATGAAAATGTGCCTTAAATTGAAGCTCTTAGTGTCAAAAGTACTTCACAGTGTCACGAAATGGTCATCAACCTTAACCTCATGTCCCGAGAAAACCCTTTGGTGGGATGATAGCCCACATTTAGTAGATCACTTAGATATAAATTTGGAAATCGAACTATGACGTCCGAGAGAGATATTTTAGTTTTTATTTTCTTCAATTCTGGCATATCAAAATTTAAATGAGATGATAGGAATTTGGCATTTTTACAGCATTTTTGTTGTTACGTTGCTTAGAGTACTATTTAAGACATTATATAACTAATTGGAGCAGGTTTTTTGAAATCATTATTATTTTTTGTTTGTTTTTCAATTTTGCTGACTCCGGGAAAAGGGTGCACATTCAGTTTTTTTCAAATAAGACACATTGAAAGTTTGATAAAATGCCTAACAAAGCTAAAACTCATGAAGAAAACTAAAAGTGTTTGTTTCCTATGTTTGAAGAAGGCAAATCGAAAAATCACAAGTTTTTTAGTGGAGAAAAATCGCACAGTCCTCAAAATTGAGCTTGATTTTTCAAACTTTCAAATCCCTTGTGGAATTTGTGAAAGATGTCGTGTGGCTATTTGCAGACGAGAAGAAGGGGAGGATGCACCTATCCCAAGGCTCTTTGATTTCAGCACCATCTCAGTTCAGCGTACTGCAACAAATATTCCTTGTAATTGTTTGATTTGTCAAACTGCAAGGACAAATATGAATCAGTGTCATCCTTTGGAACCAACAAAACCCAAAGAAAATTCAAGCATTGAAAAAAGGTGCTCTGATTGCTTCTCTGTGATTGGTCGTGGATTGCCTTACAATTGCACAACAGGAACATTAAGGCAAAATTTAGTGGAAGTTGCTTCGAGGGATCGCATTGCGGCAGAGAGGGTAGCATCATTAACAATTGCTAATAAAACTCCATCACCTCATGGCACTGTTTGGCTAAGTCAACCACTTGGAGGAAATCGTTTTCCCGTTGTTCCAGGTAAAGCAATATAGATTTAAGCATAAACCACTTATAAATTTTTTTTAAAATGTAAATGTAGAAAATTTTAACCTCAGCCATTAAATGTTCTTTAGGACCATCAAGTGCAAGAGAATTGTTTCCTGCTGTGCCCAAGCTCACGGCACAAGACATGGTTGGAGTCCAAATTGGAACTAGATTGTCAAATCGTGGCATGTCCAAATTGGCATCATATTTGAACCAAGCTACACTTCTCTGGATTGTAGAAAAAAATTTCAGAGAAAAATTCGACAGTTTCAGGAAATCTCTTTCTGAGCATTTTGAGACCAAGGCCATACGAGATTCTACAAAGAATGATGACCAGCACCCTTCACGACTGCTTGTTTTTTGCCCAGATGTAGGAAGTCTTGCAAATCACGTTATCAAAGTAAGGAATGTTTCAGGAGATCTGCTGATGAAGATTGGCATTGATGGAGGTGGTGGGTTTTT